AGGAACTGCACGGCACACGCAGGAGAGTGCTGCACAGCTCTGCTGCTCTGCAAGAGAAGAGAGCTCTCATGCTCTCCCAGAGAAGCACCGAGTGTCCTTCCAGAAGTATTTGCTGAAGCACTAGAAGAATGGCAGAGCTGTTAATTCTTGTTCTCTAAAGCTATCGATGATCTTTCCTCCAACCTAGGCAGGTATCCTGAGGATGAATGGAACCTGCTCTACGTAGCCGTGACACGCGCAAAGAAGTATTTGCTAATGTCAAAGTCCCTGGAACACCTTTTAGCATTGGCTGGGGTAAGTGAAGCCTTTCCGAGGGAAGCAAATCCGCAAGCGGGGCAATTTAGGGTCCCGATACCTGCACTTCGTAGCACGCTGCACCAAAGCAAGGCGTCGTCATGCCCGATCTGGCTGAGCGGCCCTGCCTGGGGGCTGCAGCAGTTCCTCAGCTGGTGTGTGAGCTGCTCCAGAGGCAGAGCAGGCAGCCGGGGAGAGCAAACTCCCAGACGCGCTGCTGTCTCGTTAGGATTTGGAGTCTCGAAGCAGCTCTGCAAGCCGATAACACCTCAGGCAGGATGGGCAGCTGCCAATTTAAAAAGGCGCCAAGAGAGGCAGCGCCCACTACTCGTACTGCACATCTCCGATTATTATGTTCGGAGAGGGGGGTGTGGTAGAGAAGCATAAAAGAAGATTGTCATAAGATTCACCTTGATCCCAGATTCACGCTGAGCGTGGACTATGCCCTGGCTTGTGCTGGCGTAGACCAGAATAACCGAGGTCACCTTTTTTCCTCGGTTCACGCTGCTCTGCACTGTGATTCTAGTAGCGAGACACGAGGTTGCAGCAGGTTTTTTTTTTTTTGCCCCCAGACCTTGCATTTGGGTGTTGTCTTCCACAGATCCTGACTTCTTATCTCGGTGCGAGTGTGTGGGTTCCCTTTTCTCTGTCCGCAGTGGTCGGCAGCTCTTACTTCACTTCCTTCTCTGCGAGTTGCTGCTGGCTTCTGCCTGTTTTTTATTGTCACCGGGGGGTTGGGGGGTTTTTTTTGTTGTTTTATTTTTTAAAAAAACATCGTGTTGCAAGTCACTTCCCAGGGGGTTAAAAAAAAAATAATAATGAAACAACCAGTTCCCTCTGAGCGTCGTCGTTCCTTTTTTTTTCATGTTTCTTAGGAGCGTTTCCTTCGGGTGGAGCTGATGAGCGAGGCTGCGAAGGACGGGGCCGCCGTCACTTGTTGCGTGCCACAGTGTAGGGCAACGCTGCAACCCAGCTCCTGGCTGGTTGTGAAGAAGCTCCCTTAGAAGCTCCCTTTGACCCACGTACGTCCCCTCCCTGGGCCTCTGAGGTCACGTTTCTGAATCGGGAGCCTTCACGAGCTGCTCCAGTCGCTTGGGGGGCGGCTGCGCTCTGTGTTCTGAGCTATCGCGCCGGGGAGGGACAGCCTCGGCGCTGAGCTTCAGCGGAAGCGAGCAGGGAACATCCCGTGGATGGATCTCGTGCCCACAGCTCCCCAGCCCTTTGCTTCTGCTCACAACCCTGGCCCATAACGGGGGGTGACTTCCCGACCGCATGATTCAGGGTGGTGGCGCAGTTCCCACAGACCCACTCAAGCCTTGACCTCTCTTCTGAAACTAATTGTGGCCTCAGGTGGGGCTGGTTTGGGGGTTTTGTCGTGTCAGATCCCATTTCCGACTCTTGGAGCCTCTGCCGAGGCCATCGAACATCCGTCTGGGGTTGGCAGAGCACCCCTTGCCCCCGCCGGCCAGCTGGAAGCGACAGTCTTGACTTTTGGATCCACTTTTGGCTTCGGTCCCACCTTCTGGCTTGGGGGTTGACCCTTGCCCAGAAGGTGCGGTGAAGGCCATGTTTCCCCTAGTGCTGGGATCTGCGAGCGCGCAGTGAATCTGGTGGAGCTCCGTGTCCGCAACAAGAGACAGCAGATGGGCTCCGAGCCGTCAGCAGGGGACACCAGCACCCAGACGGGCAAAGCCTCGTCCTTCACCAGCAAAGACCTGCACGGGGCCGTTTTGGTTGTTGCAGCTGTTAAACAAGCTGTCCCGTAAGGGGTTTCCTTGCGAGGGAGGTGGCAGGAGATGCTTTGGGCGCATCGTTGCTCTCTTCCCTGGATGCGAGGGGGTTGCAGCCGAGGTTGGAAGCCTTCTTCCAGCCTTCCTCTTCTCTCACGTCTCCTCTCTTTCTCCCGCAGAGCAATGGCAGCGAGGATGCAGGTGGCTACCTTTGCCACACTTGCACGCAGCGGCGCTTTGGCTCTCTGACACCGCTCACCTTTTTCCCGGCGCTTCAGGAATAGCCCATCCGGCTCTAACGAAGCCCTCCGGCTTCCCAGAGCCCTGGCTGCGTCCCGGAGCCATCCTGGGTGCAGGACAAGGCCTGTCGTCACATCCCAGCTCCAAAATCAGGCGGATATTGGAGCAGGATTTCAGACCAGCTCTGAGAGGAATCCTCCAGGCTCTCTGCAAGGAGGTGTGAGACCTTTTCTCAAGCCCTGCCTTGCCCTCCCGGAGCTGGTTGGCACGGCCTGCGTCGCTGCGCAGAAGAACATGCACTATATAAACAGTAACAGACAGGACGGCTTTTTTTTTGAGCATTACCCCTCCGTGACCTCTGTCACCAGGAAAACACCTCCAGTGACCTAACTGCCAGGATTTCCTTGCCTATTCCATCACGTCATGCCTCGGTGAAATCCCTCTGATCCACCAGAAGAAGAGGAAATGCGATGCTGAAAATTATCCGAAGAAACACTTTATTCCTAGAAAATGGGCTTTTTCCTGGAGGCCGTCTTAATGGGGAAAATTTCACCGTCAGCTCTCGGACGAAGTCATTAACCTCTCCTAGCTCAATTAATTTCCCTTACTTGCAGCAGAGGGGTTTCCCCAAACTGCCTCCTCCCTGCAGCAAACCGTGAGGGAAGAAGAGAGGCAGCGTCTGAAGAACTGCTTTGGTTTGGTTTCAGTCTAACTCGGAGACAAACTGGAGAGTGTTTTTAATGCTGAAATTAAATTTGTAACAAAAAAAAAGCGCCTTAATGCTTTCTTTTTTCTCTTCCCTTCTGTTAAGAAGTCATCCCGGGTTGCATTTATTTACCAGCCATCTCAGCAGCAATGGTGCAAGCAGCACGGTGGTCTTGTCAATCAGACGGTGTCTTCTCCGTTTGAAGACACCGTGGCTCGTACCAGCGCCCGTGTCGTGCGGAGATCGAAACTGAAACCGATTTCAGAAGAGATCTGCTCTTGGACACGGGGCCGGAGCAGTGAGCCACACCTGCTGGAGGAAGCTCGTGCATCCTGTTGATTTCCGTGGTTATTCATTGAACAGGAGCTGCTTCGCTGGCTCTCCTTTCACTTTCGAAGCACCGACTCCAGAAAGGCTTTCCCTGTTCCACTCACCTAAGCGCGGGCAGAAGTTCACCCAAGACTTGGACGTTGGATGTAACCGTAAAGCTCGGTGTGGACACCGGACCAGGCGCCTCCAGCGATCCCATCCAGCCTCACCTGTCTTCCGACCGTCCCGTGGTACGCTGGGGAGAAGCAGTGCCGCTGCGGGAGGGTTTGGTCCGTCACGCATCCAAAGTGCCTCTTCCTCCAGGTCCGACGGTCCAGAGCAGTGGCACAAACAGGAGGACAAAAGACGGCAGCAAGAAAAGGACGCAGAAGTTGGTAGACACCTCCTGCTTTCCAGCTGACTGCTAAAACTCCCTTTTGCCGCCCAGCCGAGCGACGGCAGCTGGCGCCTTGCCGTCACCTTTTGCCGCTGGAGGACGGCAATACCGGTGGCCGGCCGAGCTCTTGCTGCTGCGGAGAGGGATTTCACCCCAGCCCAGCTCCTGTCTGTCCCCGCTGTCCTCCCCACCATCGTGGCCGCCGAGATCAAAAAAACCAACTGCTGCGTGTGCGTTATTTTACATACCGTATATACACATTTATACATAAAACAGCATCAATACAAAGCTGCCTGTTCTGTAGCAAGGGCGAAACGAGTGGGTAACACCTGATGACGGACGAAGGGAAAACATGCAAAGGAAAATATTTCCTAGGTCGTGTTATTGCCTTCAGTCTTTGGTAGTGTGTCTGCAGCGAAATCGCTCCTGCTTGTGGTCCCCTGCGAGCGGCC